CACCCTGCCCTAGCCTCTACAGCTTTATAAAGTCACGGTGCCTGGTGGTAATTCTGCTCCACGTTGCTCTTCAGAATTGCCCTGTCTGTCCTTGACCCTTTGCTCTTTAATATACATTTTAGAATCAGTTTTTCCCTTCCATGTAGAAACCTGTTGGGATTTTTAAAATCAGGATTATGCCATATATACTATGTATATATAGAAAAACTGCGATGCCTTTATAAAAACAAACAGGGTTTTATAAAATAAAAGCCGTCCTTAATTGATCAATGGAAGTTTGTATTTTGTGTGTTAGTTTTTCTGATAGTGGAATACCCTTGAACTTGTTTTTTATCCAGTCAGTGGTTTGACTGTTCTGGTTCTAAATAAATGCCTCCCTTTTAATGTTCTCTTTTCCTAATTAACAAAGTGCCAAGTAGAAAGAGATAAGTTATGTGCTTTAATTATAATAGCCCCAGGCTCCTGGGAGAATTCTTATCACTGGCTTAGACTGTACATTCTGTCTTTAGTAAAACCTTCATGTAAGCCCTGGATTTGAGATCTAAGGTGGTGGGGCTGGCAGGACCCGACAGCAGACAGCTTTATTCCAGGTTTCTCCCGGTCATGCTGTGTCTGGTCCTCTCTGTGTGTATTTCCTTCCTGTTACAAATGGGAAAGGACTGTTAGCCTGGGTTAGCATGAGAGATGGGGAGTTTGAGATGCTGCAGAGAGTACTTGACATGGCACCGCGAGTCCAGAATTCCAGATCATCTCTGCCACCAATGAGCTGCCTCTCTGGGCGAGTCGCGTGGACTCNTTGACATGGCACCGCGAGTCCAGAATTCCAGATCATCTCTGCCACCAATGAGCTGCCTCCCTGGGCGAGTCGTGTGGACTCACTGAGCATCAGTTTACTCCTCTGTAAAATGCACTTTTGCTGGCTGATCGCTAAGGTCTTGCTACAAAAGGAAAAATTTCTTTGGCTCTGAGTCTTTGTAATTCCATATTCCTTTCCCCACTCTTATCTCACATCCTTTCTGTCCCCAAACTGAGAAGTAATTTCTGGCTCCTGGGAGATAAGTTATATACAGTGTCAAAACAGAGCAATTTTTATAAGGACCAAAGAACTTTATCCGGTGACTAATCCATGCCTTATTTATACTTGTCAAAATGAGCAGAGAATCTGGAATCATTTCCATGCCCATCATGGTACCATTTTGCACCTGCAGCCACACATCACGGTCCTTTTCTGGAAAGAGGTTCCTTCAAGATGGACTTCCTAGGGTGGGTTGGGGGCAGGAAGTCACTTCTCTTCTGTGGCCTCGGTTCACACATTTATGAAATGGGCAGTTAGGACTGGGTGCTGTCTAAGTTTCTCTCACCTTTAAACTTCTAGTCTGAGTTGGGGAAGGGACAGGAACAGTGGCAGTTTCGAGGGAATGTCTTTGGATTTAGGGGCAGAGTCTCCCCGTGTAAGGTTTCCTCTCCATGCACGTCCTGTTGGGTCAGGACGGACAGAGAGAGCCCACCGTAGACTAGCAGCATCGCAGGAGAGGAGATCTTGGCCGTTGGTAACCACGTGATGTGTTAATTAAATGGGGGAGGGAAGGAATATCAAGAGTCTAAAATAAGGTTTCTGCCCTCCAGGGGTCCACAGCTGAGTTGGGGAACACAAGGACAGGCATTCAGAGATGTAAATACTGTCTGAAACATCTATTGATTTCATCAACCTATGGAGCTGGTTCCGAGCTCACGATTAGGGGCAAATGTCCGTGTGCAGACAGCCCCATCCAGGAGGAGATGCAGGAACACCCAACAGGTCTCGGCAGCTCCATCTTTTGTGGAGTCACCATTTTTCCTCCAAAAGAATCTGATGTTTTCTTGTTAAAATGTCTCTTGATTCTGGCCGTTGGATGCTGCCCTGTGTCTCCACAGAATGCGTGTAGCTGGAGGGATGGAAAGCTTTGCAGAAGGATGTAGGAGAGGGAAGAGGATGGCAGTGTGGAGAAGAGCATTAAGCAGAGTCTTGGGGTAAGAAAACACAAGACATATTCAGGAGTCAACTGGTAGACCCTCTTAGCTATTAAGACATTTGAAGAGGGGGGGAAAAGCTGAAGACACAATTTGGAGGCAGATCCTGAGAGGCACGATGTAATCAAAGAGAGTCCAAGGATAAACTCTAGCTCTGCCATCTACTATCTCCATGCCTTTGAGCAGGATCTTTCATCTTTCTGAGTTTATGTACCCATAGGTAAAATGGGAGTAATAATGCCAGTTTCAGAGGATTTTGTGAGGATTACAGAAACAATGTCTGAAAAGCTCCTGGCACAGTAAAAATGATCAGGAAATGTTAGTCGTCTAAATCCCAGGCGCCTCTACCTGCACAGTGGCTCTTCTCTTACAGGGGACTTGGAGAACGGCACCCGGACAGGCCTGGCTGGGACTTAGGCTCGGCCAGGTACGGGGTCTCTGATCTTGGCCGGGTCACTTCACCTCTGAGCTTCAGCTCAGTTATCCACAAAGTGAACTGGACCGTACTTACTTACCTAACAGGATCACTGTAAAGTTTAGGAACTTATTATGTTAAACACTCAGCAGCGTGTGTTTGTGTTCATAGGGGAGGGGCAGTGGGCTTCAATCGGTAACGGTGGTGGGAGAAAAAAGGAGTAGGAGCGGCTGGTATCACCGAGATCCTTGGATTCTTGACCAGGGAGCCTGGGTTTATCTTGTAGGCAAGGGGGGTGGGGGGCAGATCTTTGAAGGTTTTTTTTCAGATAGGGAATCATAAGAGGAAGGATCTTGACGTTGATGAGACTAGAACAAGAATTAGAAAAGCATGCACAGGGCAAGAAAGAGCACTCTGGGCACCGGTGAGAGACGAGCCTACCGAAGGTCCAACCCAGCTTGCTTCGTGAAAGTGCCGTGTAGCTCTATTACCAAACGGATTCTTTCCTCTGAAATCCGACAGTTCTGAATGTATGAGGGAAGCTGACATGGAAATGGACAGCGAGAAAGAGAGAGAGAGAGGAAAGAGACCCAGAGAAAGAAAGAGAGGCTCGGAGGGAGGCAGAAAGATTCGCAGATGCAGAGACCACAGGGGGGAGCCGTCTTCTAGGCTCCCCGACTTCCTGCGTGCAGACATCTGGCGCCCAGCTGTGCAGGCTGCAGGCAGGTGGCTTGGAGAGCTCGCGTCAGGTATAAATCTGGCACCGGCAGGCCTGAGTTTTCAGCTGACGTGTGGGCTGTTTGAAATAAAACGGGAACTGGGGTGGAGGTGGCGCATTATCCCACCTCCCCCGAGATGCGCCTGAGCCCCTGCAAACAGCTCCTTCCGCGGGCTCCGGATCATCTGCCGGCCACACTTCCCCCTCCAGGCCCCCGGCAGATTTCTGCCCAGAGCTGCCCGCTGAGAACACTTCCCACCCTCCCTTCTGTCCTCTCCTTTAGCCTTGTTTCCAGTCTGCTTGCTGCTTTGCTTAGAAGGGGGTGCATTTGCTTTTGTGAGAAAGGTGTTTGGCTTAGCTTTTCTGAAAGCAGACTGTCTTTAAGTTCAGTTTGTTTTTAATGTTCTCTCTCTTTTCTTCCTCCCACCCTCCCTCCCTCCCTCCCTCCCTTCCTTCCTTTCCCTGTCATCTAAACACTGGATGTCTAATAACTAGTGGGCATCAAAAACCTACAAAAGTCGGCTCTGTTGCCCGCGTTGCCCCTGCCCTCGAGACTGGTGCCTTGTGTGCCTGTTGGGGGACGGCATCTGGGGCCTGCCCTTGCTCAAACCTGCTGGGAGGAGGTGGGGTGCTACGGAGCAGAACTCTGAGAGACTCCCACCTGGAAAGTGCTTCTGGGCCTAGCCCAAGTCAGGACTGCTGCAGATCAGTAGACTCCCTGGTTGACAACCGAATAAAAATGCGAATCTGACCATCCCCCAAAGGACAATGCTGGTATTGTCTCCTGAGAGTTCTTCTCAGCCCACCTTCCAGCGCTGCTGAAAGATTCCATTGTCCTGCTCAGTTGAATGGAAATGGTTGGCCCCCAGGATACCACACAGGGCCCCTTTTTCCTGGGTGTGGGAGTGCTTGCTCCAGTCTCTTTCTTATTTTAAAGAATTTTCAAGAAAAAATATACACAATATATAAATGTAATATGAACACTCACATGTACCAGCACCTATCTTAAGAAATAGAATATTGTAGATACTCTTGAGGTCCTGTAACACCTGATGCACATCCTTCTAACTTCCACAGGTATATTTGTCACTGTCTTACTTAACCATTTAAACTACATGTATGTGTATTTTTAAATAAGATATTAAGTTTTGCTTGCTGTTGACTTTTATATAAATGGCATTAAACTGGATGTGGTTTTTTGCAACTTGCATTTTTGGCCTGAAATGATGTAAGATGAAGCCATGTTGCCTTATTAAATGCTCATTCATTCATTTCCTCTGCCACACAGCATTCCGTTCCATAGATATGCTATAATTCATTCATCCATTCTCTGTTGAGAGATATTTGGGGTGTTACTTGCTATTATAAATAACAAATTTAAGATCTTTTTTACGGTTACAAATTCTGACGCTATGAACATGTCTTGCGCGTCCCCTGGTACATGGTTTTCCAGATTTTGTAAGTTAGGGTAGGATTGCTGGGTCCAAAAGCATGAACGTTTTCTACTTTATCAAATGTGTCCAAGTGCTTTGCAGAATGGTTGTGCCGTCTAACATCAGTGAATACGAGTTCCCGTTGACCCCAACCTTGGTGGTACTTTTTATTGCCCAGCTTTGACATTTTTGCCAGCTGTGTCAGTATAAAATGGCAGCTCTTTCTGGGTTTAACTGGCATTTTCTTGATTACTTATGAGATGAGCCACTTTTCCTCTTTTGGGGTCATTGATGCTTCGTCTTCCGTGTTGAATTCGTGTGTGCCCAAGACATCCCAGACCCTTCGGTGCCGCTGTAGGTGACTGAGGCAGGGTAGACGGGCGCAGGATGGGCTGCCAGCAGTGTGCTGCTTTTCTCTGTGAAGGCCCCGAGGAGGCGGGAAGTGGCCGCTATGGACCCCATTACCTCACGAGCACGGGAGTGGGTGACGATGACGACGGATTTGAAGACGACTTGGATTTGGATATTTCCTTTGAGGAGGTAACGAAAATCTCTGCTCTTAAAACCCAGGGTGTTTTTTGTTTTCTTGCTGAACAAGGCAATTTGGCCGATGGACTGTGAGCATTTTACTTAAAACTGACTTAAATGGGCTCATTTGCTTTTAACACATTTATTTCCTCTGACTATTAGGCTCCAGGTGATCATAAATTAGCAGTAATTAAGTACTACCCACGCTGATGTTCCAGGGGCAGCCCTGCCTGCTGACTTCCCAGCCCAGCCAAAACATATTGAGATTTCCCACCAAGCGAATTTTTACAAAGTCAGGTATTATAAGGAAATGAACAATTCCTTGATGATTCCATCTTTGTGGTATTGTAATAATAATAATAAACCAGCCCGGCTGGCGTGGCTCTGCGGTAGAACGTCGACCTATAAGCCAGGAGGTCACGATTCAACTCCCAGGCAGGGCACATGCCTGGGTTGCGGGCTTGATCCCCAGTAGGGGACATGCAGGAGGCAGCCGATCAATGACTCTCTCACCATGGATGTTTTTATCTCCCTCTCCCTCTCCTTTCCTCTCTCTAAAATCAATAAAAACATTTAAAAAATAAATAATAATAATAAACCATGTAATATCAGCTTTACTACTGATTTTCTGAGTAATAAAAAGTAAGGTACTAAAAATCCTGAGCCTCAAGTTCTTTATCCGTAAACTGGGGTCAGTGCTGTCTGCCCAGTCTATATCCCAGGGTGTGGGACATATCAGAAGTGGCATGTTTTCAAGTACCAGGCATCCACCATAAGCTGGCAGTCTAATTACTGGTGCTCTGTGTCAATCCTTTCCTGGCTTTAGGTTAAACCACTTCCTGCTACCCAAGGAGAGAATACGAAATTGGTGGTGGAATCCAAGACTGCGCCAAGATCAAACCCAAAGGCCCTTTCTAGGCTTGTGCCCCCTACCCCAGCATCTCTCCTTACGCCTGCCGTGGCTCCCCAGCCCACCCCAGCGAAGAGAGAAGGAAAGGATGGCGTGCCTACGATGCCGAGGCTCTTTCATATTCCTTGTGATGAAACTCTCTGCCCTGTTGACAGCTTTTGTGCCAATGACTACACCTGGGGGCGCTCACAATGCCACTGCAACCTGGGCAAAGGTGGTGAGAGCTGCTCAGAAGGTAGGCCACTGGTGGGGGAATAGCATGGTGGTGGGGTTGGCCCCACTGGAAACCAGAGGGCAGTTTTGCAGTTCACCTAAGATAAGCCCCTTCTTCCATGCATCAGTCATTAAATTAGCTACACGGGGCAAATGTGAGGCCACTTCCATTGCGTGGTTGGAGAACAACCCGATTTCTATGTGTGCCAAGCGGGTAATACTTTTGGTGCGATGAATAAATCACCCGGATGGCACCTTGGGGAGGTGGTCTTTACTTTAATCACATGTCTACTGAAAAAATGCAGCCGAGATATGTGCATGCAAATTAAGAAGGGTCATAATTGGGCCCACGTATGTTACACAGATGTACTGCTGGACAGCAGGTGTCGGTAATCTTACAGCCACCTTCGGTGTAGGGTAGCAGGCGAGAGTCTCCAAAGGCCCAGGTCCTCCCTGAGAACTTCAGGAGCTCAGAGTCCCCCAGAATGAGGATTCTAGGTGCAAAACATAGAGAAAAGAAGACCGTGAACTAGGTTTAACAGATGAGAGGTTTTCACCTAATGACACCCAAGTAGCGGTGTGCGTTGATTTTTGCATTTGAAGAAGAGAGGAAACGTCGGCTTCTGGGTTGTCTTTTTATCTTTTCAGATATTGCTATACAGTATCCTCAGTTCTTTGGCCACTCTTATATGACCTTTGAACCTCTGAAGAACTCTCATCAGGCATTTCAGATCACTCTCGAATTCAGGGTAAGAAGGATTCGTTGTTTTATGAGTGCCCATTGGACATCCTGTCACAGGAGGAGGGGGAGGGGGCAGAGGAAGCCTGTTCACAGGGTAGCAAGGATGACAGGCGCATTCACACGTTCAAGGGCACCAGCAAGGGCAGGTGGGTTCTGCATGTGACTGAACCATGGACGTGGCTGGTCTGAGGTTCCCAGAGAGAGTGTTTGAATCCCAGCCATGTTGCTCATAAAGTGACTCCTCCCTGGCCAGGACATTAGAAGGCACGATGCTTCCTCACTCCCAAACCCCGTGAAAGGGAGCCCAAGTGTCTGCTTCATTGCTGCGGCTGTAACAGAGCAAACAGAAACTGAAATACCCTGGCGTGGAGTAGATGTTCTCTGATCTGAACCAACTGCACATCAGAATTCAACCAGCGACTTCGGCTTAACGCGGTTCTTTTGGGTATCTCAGAGGACATGAGAATGTCTGGAGATCTGGAAACAATTCCCCTTTCAGGTCACGGTCACAATTTTTTTTTTAAGTTTTTAAAATTGACTTTAGAAGGAGAGGAAGGGAGAAGGAGAGAGAGAGAGACATTGATTTCTTCATGCAAATCATACACCCACTGGTTGATGCCTGTTTGTGCCCCGACTGGGGATCGAACCCACAACCTTGGTTCACCAAGACAATGCTCCAACCAACTGAGCCACCTGGCCAGGAGGTGGTGACAATGTTGAGTGACCTGAAGATGATCTGTTGCAGCCCAGGATGGCCAGCACGGGTGAAAACCAGACCAGGCTGTTAGCTGGGCTCTGCATGGTCCTGCTCTTGATAGAAGGAAAGAAGCAAATTTGTGTGCTTCTCAGAGGAGGGAAATTAGGAAATAAATAAATGAAGGCTGACTACAGGATGCTGTCTGGGGAGATAGAGCTGATGAGCACAGGAACCGCCTCTCTGCGACCCTGGTCTTTGTGCCCGTGGTTTCCCGGAGGCTCTGCTGGTGGATCCACAGAGCCAGGAAGGAGCAGGTTGACTACGGGGCTGCCTTCCCCTTTGTCGCCTCCCTGCCATTCCTCACACCGTTTATACCACTGCCATTGGGGCATTAGAAGTGAACCGGGACTAGGTACCTGGGGATGCTTGCCCGTTTGTTAGGACCACAGACGAGGGAGCTCGAGCTCCCCACTCATGAGTGTGTCCAGGTGGCGCCCGATGGACGTGGCGGGGCTCACCATTCCCTTGGCTCTTGTTTGTCTCACAGGCAGAGGCGGAGGACGGCTTGCTGCTCTACTGCGGGGAGAGCGAACACGAGAGGGGCGACTTCATGGCCCTGGCTATCATCCGACGCTCACTCCAGTTCAGGTGACTCTGCCGACAGCCCACAGATTTTTCAATACTACCCTATGTTATATTTCCATTTTTATAGTGGGAGCAAAGTAAATGCAGGATGATAAGGAACAGCGTGTGTGAGGTGGCCACGGGCCAGTCTACTAAGTCCTGGAGTGTCGGGAACACGAGGTGACCTTTGCAGCGTTTGGAACCCGGTGACCATTCATTCGTTCAACAGCAAGTGTTTCTTGAGCACCCGCAGTGTCCCAGGCTCCGCTGTAGATCCTGGGATGCAGTGATGAGCCACAGCGCTCAAGTCCCGTCCCTCCTGGGCTCTGTGGATGTGATCAGATGAAGGCTGGAATCTTCTCCATGTCGTCTACGGTCAATACAACTGACGGTCATGGAGAGCAGAGAGGAGCCAGCAGCCTCCTGAGGGCTCCCGGAGGCTCAGGCCCCATCCTTGCCTTCCCTCGGGGCTGTGGTGGCCTGTCTGGCTACCTCCTCTGGCCTGGTCATTCCTCTCCCAGCACTCTGTGGAAGCCACCTTGAGTTTGCGCATGGTTTCCCTGGGCAGGGTGCAGCGGAGGTGGGAGTGTTTTAGCTGCCTTCAGGGAGGTGCACACGGCACGGATGTGAGAACCGCCCATGAGAATCAGCCTTGTCCTTCTCTGCAGTGCACTTGTTAAGATCCTGAGGATGCCATCCCCCCCTGCCTGACCCTCAGCAAGAGACAGCCTCTCCAGGCCTGCGCTTCCTCCCGGGGCTACTGTGAGCATTACACGAGTTAATGCGTGAGAGTGCTTAGAGCGGTGCCTGACCCGTAGCAAGCTCCCAGTCAGCATCAACCACTGTTGTCTTTTGATTATTTCAGCACAAAACAATACCTTGGGTTGGAAAATAAGTTGGAGGAGACTGTTGAGCACTGCACTTGGGGTAGAAATGCCCCCCTCCCCCCGCTTCCTTGGCTCAAGGCTTTGGCTCATGGGAGCCTGATGTCAGTCACCAGGATCGGGCAGAGGTTGTGACCTGCTGGGGCTGTAACACTTGGGGGACCTGATGGGCTCCGGTAGCACCAGTGGTTATTGGCTGGTGTAGCTGTCCATCCTGGCAGCTCCCACTCGTGATTCTGGTATCTTCCTGCAGTGCCCCTGACCCCTCTCCACTCCACTGAGGATCATGAGACAGAGGGAGCCATGAGAGTGGCCGGAATTGGTTCAGGTCCTGATGAGGACCATGCTTCCTTCCCCACCGGCGATCTTGGGACCCACGGGGAAGTGGCATGGTGGCTGTTTGGAAGTTGACGGGAAAGGGTCAGAATTCTAGATGTCAGGCATAGTGACCAGTGGGCACCCCGGGACGTAGGGAGGGTGAGGGAAAAAGAAAAAAAGAATGCAGCCATCTGAAAATGCTCTCTGTGCGCCCCCCACACCTCGCCCCTGAGCGCGAGCCTCCTGGGAACCTGCCCCTGCATTGGGCGCAGCTGAACTCGGGTGGCAGCGCTGGCCAGCTGGTCAAGAGGAGTGTGAAAACTTGGCTTTTGACATTTTATTAATATCACTGAGCCTGTTGTTTGGAAGTCGGAGGAAGTCCCCAGAGAAATCCCTGGAAGCAGAATGACTCCAGTTCGGGTTCCCTGCACCTTGAATCTAATTCAAGCGCCTGGTCATCTCTGGAAAGGACTGGGATGTTCTTAGTTGCCCATGATTTTCTGAGCTGCAGAGAAAGTCGGGTTAGAGAGGCCCCACATTTAAAGGTTTTATGGACAGGTTAGAAATGACTAGACTGACCTCATCCCAGAGAACAGGCTTCTAGTTCTTCCACGCTTACATTTAAACTGCCCTTGATATTTGTAAGCCTAATTCTGAACAGGTTGGCTCTCAGAGAAGCCATCACCCTGAGATGATGTCCTTGGGGCCTGAAAACACAATGAGCTGGTTGATCAGAGAATCTTTCCTTTGCTTCCTCCGCAGGTTTAACTGTGGAACTGGGGTTGCCATCATCGTAAGTGAGACCAAAATCAAACTCGGGAGCTGGCACACAGTCACGCTCTACAGAGATGGGCTGGAAGGGCTGCTGCAGCTAAACAACAACACGCCGGTGACAGGCCAGTCCCAGGTGAGTGCAAGCCTCACTCCCTGCCCACCCACCTGGCACTCACCCTAAGCATCCTGAGGGGCCCCGCCACAGAGGGCTGAGGCAGGCTTGGCAGGATGCAGGCTCTGGATGGGCCATTTCTCATGGTGAACCCATGCAGCTGAGCTCTGGCCTGCTCCTGCGGGGTCTTGCCACTCTAGGTGGGCTTTCAGGGCGCACATCCATCCCCCATCTACCTGAGAGGAGAACGGAATCCGCAAGCGTCATTGCGGTAGGCACCCAGGGACGTGTTCTTTTCCCACAAGGACATGAAAGCCAGGGGCAGGGGAAGAGGCCATTATTAGTGCCAGACTCAAAGCTGCTTTTGGGACGGGGTGGGTGTTGCAATCCTGAGGCTTTGGAAAATAGTTCCAGGAGGTTCACTTGGTTCGATATGCAGGAACAATCCATTCATCTGCCTTTTGGGGGGACTGTGATTATGGGAAGTGGTGAAACAGTTTAACCATTGGGCTGCTCAGCAAATCACCCAGGTAGTCACATATTTGTCATCCTTGGGTCAATTTTAGGACCTCGTTTGGAATAAACAGTTTGGGTTAGCAGCCTGCCCAGGAACCGAACCTATAATTATAATCAGTCAGGTGTCCGTATCCTGAGGGAAAATGTAGCAAGAAGGCCTTTGTGTACATGCGGACAGCTTCCTCCCTGCCTGGGCCCTTCGCCACTCTTTGCTGGCAAGACTTGTTAAATGAAGGGCCACGCCTCGCTGATCCCCGTTAATCTGGACCCCGATGGTTCCAAAGGAACAGGAATCCAAATAGAATGAGTGCGAATCCAGCGCAATCACTCACACATGTATTTCTAAGGAAGGAAAAACCAGAATAAATGAACTACAGAGTCACGTCAGTGCCAGGACAATAGGCCCAATGCGATTAAAATTAAGTTTGATAGGAATAAAGCAGCTTTGGACTTGGGTCCAAAATACTAACATGAAAACAGGATGAAGAAGCTATAATAGAAGCAACACCTGTGAAAATACCTTAAGATTTAAAGCAAGAAAGTTCAAGGAAGGTTAACCAACAGAGCCATGTGGTGACAACAAGCTAAAGAAATTAGAGGTTGTGTTAATAGAGGTATACCATCTAGGAAGAGAGGGGTGATGATCCTGTTTTATTCTGGTGACTATGTGTATAGCTTCCAGGGCTCTAAGGGTGACCCTGATCCTCTAAGAGGATTGTATTCAGATCTGTGATTACACTCTGAGAGGGTTACAGACAAACCAGAGCATGTTCAAAGAGCAGCCACTGAAACAGGAAGGTGACTTGAAGTCCCTGGAATGACTGATTGAAGGAGCACTGTTTAGTTTGGAGAAGATGAAGGTGTGGATGGTGGCTTTTTACCTGAGTCAAAGAGAAAGTGTTGGGGAAGGACTTACTCTGTGGATCCCAAGGCTGAAGCTGAATGGGGTGAGCCGCAGGAGCCAATTTTAGCTTTACCTAGTCGTGTAAAGGTGTACAGACATGCAACAGACTTTCTCAGGCGATGACTCCCTGTCCTTGGGAGTGTTCCAAAAGTAGCTTATCTAAACCTCTTGGTAAGGATGTTCAAGGAACCCAGCAGTCAATGGGAACTTGGGTTATATGAGTTTTCATATTTTTCTGATCCTAAGAGTCTGCAATTTTAACAGATATAAGAATTAATTGCAAGAAGCATATAATTTTATGGATACTCAGGGCAACGTTTGTCCCTCTCTGCTACCAGGACTCTCTAAGCAAGTTGTATGAGCAGGACCACAGATGTGGAATGTTTAATAAACTGACTTGGGAGAAAATGACTCTGTCTTAAGTTGGAGTTCCCCAGAAACAGACCTGAGATGAGGAGTCTTGTGCGAGTGGTGCATTAAGACACGGATGCCATAGGAAACCTGCAATGGCGGGGAGAGATGGACAGGGAAGGGCAAAAGTCAGCAGGAGTGGGATCTCAGGCACAGCTCTTCAGGGCCTGGCTGCAGGCTGACCCCGCAGGGGAGCTTGAGTATAAGTTACACCTCAGAGTGATTCCAGCCCAAAGCAAGTGAATCGAATTTTCATACTTTTGCGCTCATTGAAAACTGTTAAGGGCTGTGCCAGGGGAATGCAAACTCTGGGGCAATCCCAGTTCCCTGCATAAGCAGGCAAAGCAGGCTCTAGGGACCTGAAGGCAGCCCTCATCAGAGGAAGGAAAGGGCTAAGCTCAAAGACTGTCACCTGGGATGTCGCGAAGGGAGCCTCAAAGTAACTGGCTGCCCTACGATGCGTATGTTGCTCCAGAGGAGAAAAGGCTAGGGGTGCCAGGCCCCTGCCATGGTCCCGGGTCAGGGAACAGGGCCAGAGGGTGAGTGTCAGGATGCTGATGAAATAAGCCAACAGGGCACTCAGTCCATGTAATGAAAGCAGGAGGCCAGTGGCTGCCAAACACAGTCCTTCAGCTTCACTGTGAGCACTTTAAACCTGCCCAGCTCGAGCTCAGTATACTGTTTACAAAGGAGTCTTACCTATTCACTAGCAAAGATAAAGCAATGACTATATCTTCTGCTTTTTGGTGACAGTGTAAAGGAGAAAGGTTACATTTCAGTGGCTTAACTTCTGGACACTTTGTAAGTCTGGCAGCTTGCCTTCTCCCAACCCCCTCCTATGCAGCCATGCATCCAAATGGATGGGATATTCCCACAATTGAAGGACAAATGGCCACGGGTGACTTAATTTTGTGCCACCTAACGCTCAGCTTTGTATTTCGTAACCCCAAAACCTGCAACCCAGGTTGTGGTTTGCTCTAAAACTGAAAATGTCTCCACCTAACTGTAATAACACTTTAAAAAAGAAAAGAAAAGCTGTATCCATGAGCAAATTTCCAAATATTTTGCAACAAAATCTGTTTGGACATTCCCCCGCCCAGTGTTTCTTTGCAGGATGTAGTATAAAGGTGACCGGGACAGAGAAAGGGTAAATGTTAGCCCACGATACACAAAATTAACATTATCACCTTCGAAATACAGAGCAGCCCTGTGACCCATCCAAGGTACACAGTAAACCGGTGTCAGGACTGGAAAGGGAAAGTTTTCTTTGGATGCCCAGCCTGGTCCACGGCCTGCTGGGTTGCTCTTGGCTCTGGCCTCCCCTCCCTTCCTTTCCAGGCGCTCCAGAACCCTCCTCGCTCCAGACAGCCCTCCGAGAAGCTCGCCGAATTCCCCAGGGTGACCGTGGGTTTAATTTCGCTGTAGGGCAATGTCTTAAAGATAAATACGGGTGGCTGCAAACTACCCCCTAATCATGTACCTCATTAAAATCAGTTGCATTTTTGGCTTTTGATTTTGTTTAGTGAATCGGTTTTCTTGTTTCTTAAAGGGCCAGTACAGTAAAATTACCTTCCGGACGCCTCTTTATCTTGGTGGGGCTCCCAGTACCTACTGGTTGGTCAGAGCAACAGGAACGCACCGAGGCTTTCAAGGCTGCGTGCAGGCGCTCGCGGTGAACGGGGAGAAGATGGACATGAGGCCCTGGCCGCTGGGCCGAGCCCTCAGCGGGGCCGATGTGGGTGAGTGGCTGCTGGTGGGCTGGGGGCGCTCGGGGGATGGCCTTTCTGGTGGGGGCCGGGGACAGGGGGTGAGCAGCTTAGTGAGTTGCAGCCTTAGGCGGCTGGTGGATGCAGAACCTCAGGAGGAGGTGGGCCCAGGGGAGATACTGGTGCTCTGCAGACCCTGGGCCTGGACACCAAGACGTGGAAACGGGAGGGCGCAGCCAGCCAGCCTGACTGTAGGTGGCTGCACCCCGGGCCTCTCTGAAATGCGGCCTGGGCTCACCCCACAGAGCAGCAGGTAGGCGGGCCCTTTCGCCCGTGCCCACCCCGCCCGGTGGAAAAGCTGGCACAGTAATGGAAGAAGAGCTTTCTCATGCTCTCTGCTCCTAAGAGAAATGGGCAGATTCTAATTCTGGACCACCATGCCCGGCACTTTCCCGTAGGCCCTCTCCTTTACTCCTCACACTCACTCTAGGAGGTAAAAATTATTATTATACCTGTTTTATATGTGAAAAAAAAATGGGGCTAGTAAAAGTTAATAACTCATCCAAAATAACAGGCAGAGCTAGGACTGATTTTTTTTCTTTTCTTTTCTTTTTTAATTAAGATGTTATTTTTCGAGAAGTTTGAGAGTCACATCAAAATTGAGGGAAGGGCCCCGCTGGTGTGGCTCAGCAGTTGCGCATCAATCCATGGACCAAGAGGTTGCCAGTTCAATTCCCGGTCAGGGCACATGCTCAGGTTTCGGGCTCAATCTCCAGTAGGGGATGTTCAGGAGGCAGCCAGCCGATCGATGTTTCTCTCTCATTTATGTTTCAATCTCTCTCTATCCCTCTCCCTTCCTGTCTCTCTAAAAATTAATAAAAACTTATTTTTCTTAAAAAATTGAGGGAAGGTACCCAGATTTCCTGTACACCACCCATCCCAACACAGCATAGCCTCCCCCGTTAGCAGTATCCCCTACCAGAGTGGTGCGCTCGTTACAGAGGATGAACTTACACTGACACGTCATAATCACCCAAAGCCCATAGTTCACAGTGTGCTTCACTGTTGGTGCTGGACATTCTGTACGTTTGGACAAATGTACAATAATATATATTCATCATTATGGTATCATATAGAGTATTTTTAGTGCCCTAAAAATCCTCTGTGCTCTGCCTGTTCATCTCTCTCCTCCCACCTCCAACCCTGGGCAACCACTGATCCCTTTTTTTTTTTTTTTTTTTTAAAGAGAGTATTTTTTTCTTTTTTTTTTTTTTTTAATCTTTATTGTTAAAAGTATTA